TCTATGTGGCCCTGTGATGGACTGGAGACCTGTCCAGGGTGTACCCCGCCCCTCGCACAGTGATTGCCAGATATGGGCACCGGTGACATGAGAGGGTGGCCTCCCTCCGCCTACGTGTGGGGGGATGGGTTCTGACTGTCGTTTGTGCTTATGCACCAAACGGCAGTTCAGATTATCCACCCTTTTGGAGTCCTTGGAGGGGGTACTGGAAAGTGCACCTCCTAGGGACTCCCTTGTTCTGCTGGGGGACTTTAATGCTCACGTGGGCAATGACAGTGAGACCTCGAGGGGTGTGGTTGGGAGGAACCCCCCCCCCCTGATCTGAACCCGAGTGGTGTTCTGTTGTTGGACTTCTGTGCTCGTCATGGATTGTCAATAACGAACACCATGTTCAAAATTAAGGGTGTCCATATGTGCTCTTGGCACCAGGACACCCTAGGCCGCAGTTCGATGATCGACTTTGGCATCGTCTCATCTGATCTGCGGCCACATGTCATGGACACTCGGGTGAAGAGAGGGGCGGAGCTGTCCACTGATCACTACCTGGTGGTGAGTTGGCTCCGATGGTGGGGGAGGATGCCGGTCAGACCTGGCAGGCCCAAACGTATTGTGAGTGTTTGCTGGGAACGTCTGGCAGAGTCTCCTGTGAGACGGAGCTTTAACTCCCAACTCCGGGAGAACTTTGAACATGTTCCAGGGGAGGTGGGGGACATTGAGCCTGAGTGGGCCATGTTCCGTGCCTCTATTGTCGAGGCAGCTTACCGGAGCTGTGGCCACAAAGTTGTCTGTGCCTGTCGCGGCAGCAACCCTCAAACCCAGTGGTGGACACCGTCAGTGAGGGATGCTGTCAGGCTGACGAAGGAGTCCTATCGGGCCTTTTGGCCTGTGGGACCCCGGAAGCAGCTGATGGGTACCGGCAGTCCAAGCAACATGCGGCTTGGGTGGTCGCTGAGGCAAAAACTCGGGCATGGGAGGAGCTCGGAGAGGCCATGGAGAACGACTTCCGCACAGATTTGGGGCAATTCTGGTCCACCATCCGGCGTCTCAGGGGGGAAAGCGGTATACCACCAACTCTGTTTATAGTGGGAGTGGTGTGCTGCTGACCTCAACTTGGGATGTTGTGGGTCGGTGGGCAGAGTAATTCAAAGACATCCTCAATCCCACCGGCACGTCTTCCACTGAGGAAGCGGAGCCTGGGGACTCTGGGTCGGGCCCTCCAATCTCTGGTGCTGAGGTCACCGAGGTGGTTAAAAAGCTCCTCGGTGGCAGGGCCCCAGGGGTGGATGAGATTCACACGGAGTTCCTTAAGGCTCTGGATGTTGTAGGGTTGTGTTGGCTTACGCGACAACACACCCTCGACCAAGGTCGACCAAGGTCCAAGGTCGGACCTCGACCTTGGACCAGTAAAGACTCAAAGGCTGACAAGAAAAATAGTCTGCCTGAATAAATCAACTATTGTGGTTTATCTGAATCTGACTCCCTGGTTGGCCTCGAAACAGGCCGGCATCAGTTTCTCCTGGGAAATGTGTAAACTAAAGAAAAGCTTCATCTATCCCCCCCGCCCCCCCGCCCCTTTCTGTGAATGCTGATCAGAACTGTGCCGGCTGACCAGCATCTTATCAGGACAATGGACTGTTAGTGCTTCATGGACCGCCTCGTCGTAAATGCATATGTAACGTGTTCATTACGTGCTGCTGGCAGAGTTTTTAATGTTTTAAATCGTGTCCTGTCAGGACAAGGTGTGAAGAGATCGTTTTTGTAATGCCACCACCCTCTCCTCATGGCTTTGTCCCTTTTTCTATATAAAAATGTGTTCTGAAAAGGATAAGAAGGCCGCGCTTATATCAGCAGCTACGTGCACTCCGCCCATCGCTCAGACGACTGTTTGGACATATTCTCGTTGTGTCTCTGTGCAATGATAATAAAACTTATTATGATTCTGATTCTGATTTTGTTGCATGCAGAACACATCACTAAAGACAAGTTTATTCCTGCAAACTTCTGTGTTTGTTTTAAAACAAATCTGAAAGTTGTCTGAGCCAACGCAGATTTAAAGTTAAATTAAACAAAAATCTGTCCATAAAATGGAAAAAAAAAATAAAGAGAACTTATTTTGGTACTTTAAAAAGAAGATGAACTCATTAAGAAAATTATGTGTAAACACACACACATACACACAGAGAGAGGCAATTAAAAGTAAAATAGGTCTTAACGAGGTTAAACAGGATGCTCGTTGCCATGACAACAGACGGTCATGGCTCTTTGTTTTCTGTGACTGGAGATACAACGGGACCTGAAATGAGTCCCTTTGGTTTCCGTTTTCCCTTTGTTGAAATAATCACCATTTTTTAATGAGCTGACATAACTGGTTATAACAAACGTCGAATTTCTCTCTAATTGTTTGTAGTTTGGGTTTAAAAAGATGAATCTGCTCCATGTTTGTTCAAAGAGTCAGGAATAAGAAACGAAAGGTGTTCGGTGTCTGAGCGTTGACTTGACTGGAAACTTTATTTTGATGACTTCCTGAGGAGAGATGGAGCTGCTGAGGTTTGAACACTCTCAAGGTCTGTAAGTTTGGATTGTTTTTACAGAACCGTTAAAGTTACATTTGTCTGATAAACATCAAAACTACAAATTAAAATAAAACACAAGCCGTCAGTATTTCACTTATTTTATCTAAAATGTCTGATTCTGTAAACTTCATTTGGAGGAAAGTTTTAGATTTTGATTTCCTGTTTTGTAGCTGAAAGTTGTGTTTTTAGTTTTGATAATTTATTCATTCACAATTTATTATTATTGTTGTTATTGTTATTCTTTAATATTTTTATTTAACAGGAAATGTGTTTAAATATAAATTTAGCTAAAGTTTAAACTGTGATGAAACCGTGGAAACTGTAAATCCGCACGATTTGAACCGTGAAGCAACAGAAAAACATATAAATTAAACATGAACTCGTCTCTGGAAGACAAACTGAAGAACGTAAATTTGTCAATTCTAAATTAGAAACCAGAATTATTGTTTAACATTTTTCACATTCTGTGGCTTTAAATTAAAAACACAAACATGAATAAAGTAAATTATTATTCTTAACAATTTTAGCTCAAACTAACAAAAAACATCTGTAACATCCTGATGTAGGTTCAACATCTGTAACGTTTACACACTTTAGCTTAAACAGATGTTTTTAAAAGTTTAAATGTGAATGTTCAAACCAGATGTCTTTCAGTTTTCTACACTTTATTTCCACATTTGTACTAGTTTTAATAAGTTCAGTTTTCTGAAATGTTTTGTTTGTTATTTAGATGTTTTTAATGAAATGTTAAGAAAACTAAAATATTTCTCAGTTTGAAACACTTTACTGAAAACTGAGAATAGTTTGAAGTTATTTAGTGTAAAAGTTTGACGCAAACTTTTCTCAGAGATTTTCTGCAGCTTTTTTGCATCATTTGATTAAAACCTTAAACTAAAATATTTATGATATTTAATGCGTGACCGAATAATTTTGTAATAAATGTTTTTTTCTGTTGAACGTTGAACTAAATAAAAACATTTCAGGATATTTCACTGCATCATTTTAATGCGTTCACAGAAGAAAAGAAACAACTTTTAAAAGTTTTGAAGTGGTTATTTGTTTTTGTTTCCTGCAATCAAAAGACAAAAGACTAAAATATTCTGAAAATTATATGAAAACTTTTATATATGATTAAAAAACTGGACTGGATACTGCTGTTCTTGCAAATTTTAGGCCTGTGTCTAAATTATATTTTATCTCAAAAATCCTGGAGAAGATAGTTTTGAACCAATTAATGGATTTCTGGAGAAACACAATATCCATGAGGTTTTCTATTCTGGTTTGAAAACCTTCACGGCACAGAATCAGCTCTTTTAACAGATTTTAATTGTTTTTTAGCAACTGACTGAGGACTGTGTTGTTCTTGTGCTTTTAGACTTTGCTGCATTTGATACAGTGGACCATAAACGTTTAATCTCCCTGTCGTGGTCAGCAGCCCCCGCTGGCCCCCCATCTGCTCACTTCGCTGCCCCTTCATGACGTGCCATGTTTCTGCCCCTCTCCTTCATGTGTTGTTGATCCCTCAGCTCCTGTCAATCTGCACTTCAGGTCTGCTCATGTCACTTCTCTGTCACCACGCCCCCTCAGCTGATTCACACCAATCAACCTTCATGCCTCTCACCTGTTCTCTCCACTACTTAACCTCCATGCCCACACTCATTTGGTGTGAGATTATTAAACCTCTCATGGTCCCTGATTCTCAAGCCAGTTGTAGTTTCATGCCTGAACCTCAAGTCTTGTGTTTTGACTACGACCTCACGCCTGCCCCTTGGATTCATCTCTCTGCCTGCCACTCGTCTGGTTCTGCTCTGCCCTTCTGACCCTGGTACGACAACTTTTTCTGGCCCTTTGACTCTGGATTTTGGATTAATGCATCTGTTTAAAGAACTCTGACTCCCCATGCTTGACCCCTGCCTTGCCTTCTGGATCACGACCCCACCTCTTCTGGATCCTCTCCCTGGCTGCAGCTGCAATTATAAATAAAACTGTTTTCATTTTTTTACTCTTGTGTCTTGTCATTCTGAATCCAAACGCCTGGTTTTGGTACACTCCCACTTGAATCAGTGGATGGGTGTCAGTGGTGCAGCACTGGAGTGGTTCAGGTCATACTTGAGAGATCAAACATTTTGAGTCAGTGTTGGTAACTTTGTGTCCTCCACTGCTTGTCTCACGTGAGGTTCCCCAGGGTCTGTCCTGGGCCCACTACTATTTTCTCCTTATTTGCTTCCACTTGGTTCCATGCTTTGGAAGCATGGTATTTCCTTCCACTGTTATGCAGATGACAGTCAGATTTATATCCCTCTCACAAAACAGATCTCCACTCTGTCAATCCGTTGCTCAGGTGTCTTGATGACATAAAAACCTGGAAGGCTCTAATCTTTTTAAATTTTAATGAAAAAAAAACCTAATTGATGGTTTTTGGTGGTACCACTAGCCCTCCGTCCTGTAGAACTGGAACTCTTGGCCCAGTTCATTAAGCCCACCGTTACAAATCTTGGAGTGAAAATGGATCTCAAGCTCGACAGTCAGAAGTTCAGTTGTTAAATCGAGTTTTTTCCAGTTATGGCAGCTGGCTAAAATAAAACCCACAGTAACTCATGCCTTTGTGACCACCAGGCGGGATCACTGTGATGCTCTTTATGTGGGGGTTAGTGGCTCCTCCATTGCCCGCTGTCAGATGGTGCAAAATGCTGCTGCACGTCTTCACTGGCACATGTAAACACAAGCACATTTCCCCCATTTCAGCCTCACTTCACTGGTTGACCATCAGTTTAGGATCGGTTTTAAGATTCTTTACTTTTAAATCTCTTACTGGTCTCACCCCACCCTAGCTCTCAGAGCTGCTACAGACTTGATGTCCCTGTTGGACTTTATTTCTTATTTTCTTGTGTTTCTCTTCTGCAGATCTGAACGTGCCCTTTGTGGCGGATCTGAGGTGGAGCTCCGTGAACGGCAGCCAGGAGCCCAGAGAGGTCAGCTTCTTCATCATCCAGGGCCTCTCCATGCTCGGCGACAGGAAGATGATCCTGTTTGTCATCCTGCTGCTGGCTTACATCGTCATCCTGGGAGGAAACAGCATGATCATATGTGTGGTACGAAACAAAAGCAGCAGTTTTTCATGTCTCGGATCGTGGTCTCAGTCTGAGGCCTGATCTGAGTCTCTCTGTTTCCAGACGCTGTTGGACTCCAAGCTCTCCTCTCCCATGTTTTACTTCCTGCACAACCTGTCCTTTGTGGACATGCTTTTCACCACCACCACCATCCCCAACATGCTGTCCGGCTTCCTGACGGAAGGCCTGACCATCTCCGTCCCGAGCTGCTTCCTGCAGATGTTTTTCTTCATCCAGCTGTCTGTCACGGGCCGCGGGATCCTAACTGTTATGGCGTACGACCGCTACTTGGCCGTCTGTGACCCTCTGCGCTACACGGCCATCATGACCAGGCCTGCCCAGAAGCTCCTTGTTGCAGGAGCCTGGGGGTTCGGTATCTTCTGCACTCTGCCGTCCACCATCATGGCCCTGCAGCGGTCTTACTGCGGTTCAAACGTGGTCCGACACGGCTGGTGCGACGTGTCGTCCGTCCGACAGCTGGCATGTGCCGACACCTCTGTGGACAACATCGTGTCTCTCACCTTCGCCCTGGTGAGCCTGATGACCATCGGAGTCCTCATTCTCACCTCTTACATCCTGATCTTTGTGTCTCTGTCCAAAATGGCCGTGGCTCGGAGGCTGAAGGCTTTAGGAACGTGTGCCGCCCACCTGACCGTGGTGTCCATCTCCTACACTGCTGCTTCCTTTGTCTACATTTCCTACCGGGTCGGAAACTTTTCTCCAGAGGTACAAAGTTACAGAAATATGAGTTTGTTGTCAACGTTTGTCATGGTCTGAGGTGAGTTGATTCTTTACTGAAAAAGTCTTTTAGCGTCGACTCCCCGCAGTTCAAACTTGTCTTGGTGGACATTTGTAAACTGGGACTGTTGGAGAAAATCTCTCTCACTTACAATGATTACCCAAAAGAACCAGGATTTTTAACTAGTATTAGTACCTGCAAGGTCAGATTTCAGGAGAGTTTACATAAATATGAATATGAATATATAGATGAAAACCAACCACAGAAAAAAACATGAGGTGCATTAACCACTCGCTTTTATATCCCACTCAGCTCAGCCGAGTCCACAGAGTTCACGAGGAGTCCTTACAGCCAGCTGCAGCCTTCTTACACAGCGCTCTGTGCTTACCCAAACATATGGTTCATGGGCGGAGATAAGATCTTGGGAGAAGGTTCCGGCTCGTTCTGGGCTTCTTGTTCTCGGGGCAGAGTGGAAGAATTTTGTCAGCCATGATAATAAAACATCCAGAACCTTTGAACAAAAACTCTCTAACATATCCCCCTGTTTACAGATGTTTTATTGCATTAGCTACTTTGCAAGCAGGGAAGCTTTACGTGTGACAGACCCCCCCCCCCCCCCCCCCCCAAACAAAACAACACGGTTTAAGAAGGGGAGAAACATCACATTGCCCCATAGATGTTGGTGACAACCTTATGACACATTTCAACATCTCAGCCGGGTGGGTCAGGATAAAAAAAATAAATAAAAAAAATGCGTGAATCGAAAACATAAAAAATTTAAGTAAAACATAAAAGTAAAAAAACAACGATTTAAAATGTAAAGTAAAGTCATAAAACTTCCTTCAGACAGATCTTTCTCTCTCCAGCTCACAACTTAATGCGACGTGTGATACTGGAAACGGTCAGGAATCATCTGCATATCAAGAAATAATAAAACATAATATTAGAACAGAAAATCATTGTACAAATTTCCATTTCCATCAGCGTCATCTCAGTGCTACCTCCTCGTCAGAAGCTCAGAAACAGGATCATGTCTTCATCAGAGGCTCCATCCTTCAGTGGACTCGTCTCGGGTCTTCACTGACCTCAAGTTTATTTCAGCCAGTCATATTTTCTTCCCCCACCTGCAGCTCCGGCAGCGGTGACAGGATGTGGCTCAGGTTCTTTTGTTTCTGAAATGGGGGTGCCTCAGAGGAGACGTGCATTCGGACATGGTCTCTCATCAATAGTCACGTTTCTTGTTGGGGCCTCGTTTGTGTGAGGCAGGATTGTAGAGACGACTTCCTGCTCCTAACAGCTGGTGTTCATGACTGAGGGCGCAGACAGATGTGGAAACCTCACCTTTAAATCAAACGACTCGTTCCTCAGTCGTGCAGGAGTTCACTTTAGATGATCTAATTAGAAGAACTGTTCCTGAAGAAATAACTGAAGCAATGCTTAAAATTAAATAATAGAAAGAAAATATAATGTTGTGCCCATCCAACCATCCATCCATCCATCATCCATCCATCCATCCATCCATCCATCATCCATCCATCCATCCATCAGCCATCCATCATCCATCCATCCATCCATCTGTCCATCCATCCATCAGCCATCCATCCATCTATCCATCCATCCATCATCCATCCATCCATCCATCCATCCATCCATCCATCCATCAGCCATCCATCATGTACCACCCATCCATCCATCCATCCATCCATCCATCCGTCCATCCATCCATCCATCCATACATCCATCCATCCATCCATCCATCAGCCATCCATCCATCTATCCATC